ACCGCGACCTTGCCGCACCGCGTTCTCTCCCTCCTCCCGACAGGGACGCCGCGACCGGCCGCCCAGCCGCTGGCCCGGGAGGCGCTCCCCGATCCCCCAGGACCTCGTGTGCGGCCGCCGCAGCGGAGATCGCTGCGCGGAGGTGCGAGGAGGAAGGCGAGGCGAGGGGGTGTGAGGTGGGAGGCGAGGGGGTGTGAGGTGGGAGGCGAGGAGAGGAGGAAGTGCTCCTTCTGTGTGTGTGTATGTGTGTGTGTGTGTGTGTGTGTGTGTGTGTGTGTGTGTGTGAGGAAGATCAGCCCTGAGCTAAGCTAACATCCGTTGTCAATCCTCCTCTTTTTGCTGAGGAAGATTGGCCCTCGGCTAACATCTGTGCCCATCTTCCTCCACTTTATATGGGATGCTGCTACAGCATGGCCTGACAAGTGGTGTGTCTGTGCGCGCCAGGATCCGAACCTGCGACCCGGCGCTGCCCAAGCAGAGCGCAGGAACCCAACCGCTCCTTTAAAAGCAAACCCTGCTTTCTCTACTCCCAAAGAAATCCTAAGGGGGCCTCCTATTGAATAGAAGGGGAAACTGAGGCCAGGGCAGGCAGGACCTACAGCATGGGAAGTGGAGGTGATGAATGGATAAAGAGCGTTTGTAGGTAAACACAACAGGTTTCTGGATTTTCGTAGCTCCCTGGGGGAAGCCTGCTCCTGGCCTCAGCCCCCCGGGCTGGGACAGACTAAAGACTTGTCCGGTCCCTGGCTCCCCGTCCGCTGTGATTACATGGGTGTCCTACTGCAGCCGCCACTGCAGGTGTAAAACCCCACTCTCACAGGGAGTCAATTGCCAAGCCAGTCCCAGTGCCCACAGCATGAAGGACTCTGCACCACACCTAGGACAGGTGGGGCAGGGGCCATGGGCGACCTAGGATCACAAAATATGCCTGGAGAGAGGGCGGGCACCAACTGCCTGACATGTTCCCAAAGCAAGAGATGGACCTTATCTAGGCTGCTAAGACCACCCCGCTCACAGCGTCACCAGCCATGGACTGCTTCTCTTGTCCTGTCTAAACGCTAACCTTTTTTTTCTTGTCTTGTTGGACCTAATCCTCTTGTCTTGTTGAAAGGAGCAGAAGTTCCTTTCTCTAACGCTTTGGGGTCTTGAGCTTATGCCAGCTATATTCCAGGAAGAAGCTCTGAGTGACAACCTCTCTGAACAGGCCCAGACCCACACAGAAAGAAACCACAAGAGTGATATCTGCACAAACAGGCAGACAGTTGTTCTAAAATATCCTGCCCTCCTTTAATATATAAATTCTCCTCCTCTGAGAGGGGCAAAGCAGCCATTTTTAGATCATGCCATGTATGTAAAAGCATGATTTCAAACCACACACACAAGCTTATGCCCACCTCTACATGCGATGATGAAACTTCCCCTTTGAATATTCATTCCCTACCCCAAATAAAGGTACCCACCTCCTCAGGCTCAGGGAGCCATGGCTTTGTGAAATCATTCCCTATGGTCTCCTTTTTCTTTACTATATGCTGCAAATAAAATTTCTGCTTTGTGTGATAGCTACTTCTGGTGTAGTTTGAGTAACTTACCAAGAAGGGGACTCACATTTGGTCCGGTAATAACAACACGTGAAATTAAATTCGAGGGAGCGGGAGCAGGGATGAAGGAGGGCAGCTCCAAGATCACAGCTGCAGGGAGGCAGGGCCCTGGGTGAGCTCCCCCGGTGTGTCGAGGAGCCGTGCATGCTCATTTCTTGCATCTTGCCCTCCGACCAGAAGCAGTCCTGCTCCTCTCCTGCCCTGGCCCTCACGCATGAGAAATTCCCTTCCCTGAACCACAGGCCCTGGGAGTTGGAGGGACCCTGAAGTTCACCAGATGTGATCTCTAAACAGAAAAGCCTGGGGCGGGGTTCCAGTTTTAGGGCACACAAGAATCATTTGGAAGACAAATGCACATTCCTGGGCACTGCCCCTAGTATTTTCCTTCACTAAGTCTAGGACGGGGCCTGGAAATCTATATTTTGCTCTCAAAATGTCATTTGGGAAGCACAGATCTTTGTTTCACAGATCTTTTCATCAATTTCAATTCCAATGCCATTTCCTCATAAATGCCTGTTCTTATTCCCACTCATCAAAAGTGGCCTCCACCCCACTCACTTTCTATCCCATTACCCCTCCTTATTCCCTTAGAGCACTTGTCACTCCAGGATATCTTCTTGTTTACTTATTGAATGTGTCCCCCACTAAGACCAGATGTCTTAAGCTCCCGGAGGGCAAGGACCTCGCCTTTGGACATCTCTGTGTCCCATGCCCACCACTATGCTTGCCATATAATAGTTCAGTACATATTTGTTGAGTGACTGAACAAACCCAGGCCTGATTTTATTTTCTTTTTTGTGAGGAAGATCGGCCCTGAGCTAACATCCATTGCCAACCTTCCTCTCTTTACTGAGGAAGGTTAGCTCTGAGCTAACATCCATGCCCATCTTTCTCTATTTTATATATGGGACACCGCCACAGCATGGCTTGATGAGCGTCACGTAGGTCAACACCCAGGATCCAAACCCACAAATCCCAGGCAGCTGGAGTGCGCAAACTTAACCACTACGCCACCAGGCTGGCCCCTGGCCTGATTTTTTTAAACAGGGAATGAGTTTGGAGCTGCCACCCTGTCCCAGTCATAACTGGGACTTTAGAAGCTGATGTCATCCTGGAGGAAAGCCTTGGGAACTGTCACCAGACCTCCCTTTCCTCACTCTCCTGCCAGCCTCTTCCCCAGCCCTCCCCTCACAAAGCTCTCCAACACTCAGAGAGGACGCAGCCTCAATTGAGTGACATCACACCTATGAAGATGCCCACCAACCTGAGCCCATGAGGGAAGGCGGCCTTTCAGGGTTCTCGAGGTCTGTCCTAGAGATGAGCTTGAGGTCGGAAAGCATCGCCCCCACGGGGCCCCCCCGCCTTGCACAAATAGCACATATGATGGTGCCACGTTGGGTCTCTCCACTCCCCAAAGGGAGTTCCTGTTTGTTCTCTGAGGGATCCCCCAGAGACCAGGTCTTCATTTTGCAGGTGGAGCAGAGCCTACGAGTAGCCCCTGTCCAGGGCACTCCCCCCGTTCTTGATTCCTCAGACCTTCACTGAGCACTGACTGTGTGCTGCTGGAGAGGCTGAAATGCCAGGTTCCCCGCTCTCTGTGGCTTGTCATAACTGCCACTCTGGCTTTAGAGAAGGGGCTCTGCTCTTATTTGCCCTCCAGTGTGGGCAGCGCCCCCCGAACCTCCCACGGCCCAGCCAAGACCAGGCTGCAGTTTCTGACAGAACTATCCTGAAGCTTTAGAGACCACAGGAGGGATGACCAGAGGGGAAAGAGCTGCTCTCAGGGCCGGGGCCGGACCCCTCCTGCGGGGGCCCTCACGGCACAGCTTCTTAGACGAGGTCCACACCCAGTGGTGGGTCAAGAGATCAACTGCCTGGGTTAAAACCAGCATATCAAGAGAAAAAAAAGAGAGAAGGATAAAAAATATCAGAGCATGTTTAAGGAAGTAAGGGCAGGCGTAATTCTGTGCGAGTTTCGTTTGAAGTATGAGTGTGTGCATATGACATTGTGGAGTATATTCCTTCATGTCATGGTCAAAACAACGTGAAAGATACTTCTCACAAGGTGAAAACACAAGTATCTGTGATCTACCTCCACGGGGCTGGGGCCGGCTCACCACCCCCACAAGTTCAGGCCCAACACCCATTTTACCCAGAGCGAGAGAAGGGGCCTTTGCTCTTTACTTTCGCGTTATTAAAAGTCCAAGTCAGCGATGTTTCCAAAACCAAGATGAATTCTCCCCTTGAGAGAAAATCGCCTGCTGCTTTTGAGTGATTTTTGCCAGTTTCTACCTAGCCCCATCTCAACTCTTAGAGCCCCAAGGCACCCTGTCCGAATGATCTTCAGCACCATCGCCGGAGCGAATACTCATCAGCACTTACCGCTAGCCAAGCACGGTTCTCAGTGCCTGACTTGCACGGACTCAAGTCATCATCTCAACAACCCCATGTGGTTGGCACTATTATCATCCTTATTTTTCCCTAAGGTTAGATGTGTCCATGAGTGCACCACTCATGAGCATCTGGGCTAGAATTTGAAATCCAGGTGATCAAGCCCCCCAGCCCAAGAAATCATCTCCACTGTCACCATAAGCACAGTGCTTTACAGTTTCCACACCAACTCGAGGGACTCACTCTGTGAGTTCGGCCAAAGAGATAAGTGTCAAGCCCATTTCACGCCTGATAGAACAAGGTCTGAGGTCACCTGAGAAGCTGAGACCGGTACTACGTCTCCAGGCCATCCGCTCGGGGCTCTGTCCTCTAGAGCCTGTGGCTTCTTCTGGACATTCAGTGTGTGGCTCTCACATCCGCAATGCCACCGTGGAGGGAAGCCACTGCTGGGCCCTGCAGAACGTCATCTTCCTGCCTGGTTGTCTAGTGCTCCTCGGAGGGAAACGGCCTCTCTCATGACGCCGCGGGAGCGTGAGGGGTCAGTCAAGAGAAGGGGCGCCTTCTGCAGGGGCTCCCTCTGCCGCCGGGGCCGAGAGCACCACCCTGGCATGCCAAGAACTGACTGGGTGCATTTCAACTCCACTCTCTGGGTTGGGGGCAATGGCTAGTCTTCAGAACAGTCAAAGGCCCCTCCCTGCCCCACCACCAGGCCCCTTCCCTCTCCCCCCATGAAGGAGTCCACCTCACGCTTCATTATGATGAGAGTGGGTCCACCTGAAAGAAAGAGACTGGCGGTGAGTGAACCATTGTCATCTGGGTCACAAGCCTTTGTCTAGTTGGATGGTTTAAGGTACCTGCAGTGAAGTGATGGGAAATTATAAAATGAATTTATAAAGGGCCTTTTTCTTTTTACATCATCTCATTTGCTCTTAAGACTCGCCATCATGTTAAGTCTATTTTTCGGTGTGGTTTGGACCCACTCCTGGGGCCATCTAGGACTGCTCTGGGTACTTGGACAATCTCTAGTAAAAACCATGGTGGATCCTCAAGTGTCTTGAACTGAGAGACAGACAGACAGACAGAGCCCTCCCTCTCCCCAGAGAAATGTGCTGGGGGCTCTACTTGGGGGAGAACAGACCCTCTTACCTGTGATTCCAATCTTCTCCTCATACCATTCTCTCATTCTATGAACTGTATAGATCATGAGGGAGGAAGTATGGTGCAATGGGGGTGAGTCTTTAGAGGCAGGAGAACTACAAAATCCCGCCCTCGATCAAGAAAAACTCCCATTCTCCAGGGGATGAGGGAGCTTCTAAGACGGAAACTGTTTGCTGAGGGGGGGTGGCTGCAGGAGAGCAGCCGGCAGCGGCTTGGAGGTGGCACTTGGTCACACTGCAGCCTCCAAAGACACACAGGTTCCTCCCTTCCCCTCCAGCCCGAGCAAGGCCTCCCCCTAGTACTAAAGACTTCCCCTTAACCTGAGAGGCTAACAAAGTCAAAAAACGTTCTCCAAAAAATTGAAGGAAGCAAAATAAACATAAAGAAAACACAAATCCCATAAAATAATACGGTTTTTGGAGTAGAGGTTCAGATGTTACTCATACACATGAACGCGGTTCTAGTTCCCACCCCACAGGAGAGGAGGGCTCACGCAAGGCCTGGAGGTAGGTCGTCTGAATCTGTCCTAAGGCACAAAAGGAGTCGTCCCAAGAGGAAGAGGGCCTTCCCTCAGAGTCCTAAGAATCCTGGATGGCCCGGAGGGACAGGAGTGGGAAAGGCATGGCGTGGAAAGGGTTTCACAAAGGGCCCCACAAAGCAATTTATTCTCTACTTTTCCTTTTGCTCCAGCAGTCCTGCTATGATAAACACATTTCATTAACAGACATTCCTGGTCCATTTAAGAAGTAGCAGATGCATTATTCATGTCATTTCAAAACAGTCAACGGGGAAAAAGGAAGCTCCTCTCTGTGGGAAGCCTTTCCGAGTCCATCAGCTGCTCCCTCAGCTGACCCATCTTAATTGATGGGCTGCTACTCATTACTTAGTTCTCCAAATCTGACCCGGGGGAAAAACTCTACTGAGGTATCAAACACTTAAAAAGAGTCAAGAGTCCAATGCTGGTCCACTGGGCACTAAAAAGGATAAACATTCAAATTCAAGTCAACCAAACCCACGAGGCAGCGACTACTCGAACCCGTCCATCTCAGAGCAAATCTCATCTCGTTCTTCCTCCTGCTCCCTGCAGAGGTTTCCCCACAACCCTGGTGAATCACGTCCATCCCCTCCTCTCCACTCTCAAGTGCACAGGACTGTAGTGCTAATGAAACGAGAAGGAATGGGAAATGCTCATATAATACACTGGGAGTGGCTGTGGCTTCCCATGGTTCCTGGTACACAATTCCTCCGTAGATTCTCATTCTTTATTGCAATCACTGTCCCCTCCTGCCTTTCCGGCCTCACACGCCCCACTACGCACACTCAGCCTCAGCCGAATTGACTAACATGCCTTTATCACATCCTTCATTTTCCAACCTCCGAGCCTTTGCCCAGGCCGGCTTTCCCTCGCTCCCCCATGGCTTCAAGGTTCAGCTTACAAGCGTCTGTCTGTCTCCTTCACGAAGGCCTCCTGGATCCCTCTCCTCTAAATTCCCAAAGGACAGCATCTGTACGATTTAGGGAATTACAGTTGGATACATACCTTTTCTGTTCCTATAAGGCTGAGGGCAGGAAAGGGCTTTACCACTCTTTGTACCACAGGGCCTATATGAAGTAGGTGGTCATCCACGAGATAAGGTGGGGAGGAGGAGAGGGACGGGGAGGAGGAGGGAGAGAGCCAGGAGGATGGGTTGGGAGAGAGGAAGAGTAAGGGAAGGGAGGGAGGGAGGGAAGGAAGGTTGATTCCTGATCACCCTGCCTCTGCCCATCAGCCTGCATATTGGAAGTGTCTGGGGTAGAGTGACTAAGCCTCTATTTATTTACTTTTTTGAAGCCAAGGTTTATTCACTGATTGATTTGTTTAACACCTGGGCTCTGACATGCAAGTGCTGTGATAAGAGAGTTTGTAGAAGCAAAATCACAAAGCCACGTGCTCCTTGGCACTGACGAAAGAGGGTAGCAATCTGCATATGAAGAGCAGATGATGTAACCCTGTGGAACTCACGTTGACTGGAAGCCAAGCTCAGTTCAAATAAATAGGCCAATGCTGGGTCACAGATTCAAAACAGTCAACCACTTCGGGAACTGGACTTCCTGGGGGTTTTAGTTCATCAGCCAATGCAATAGAGCCTCATCTATTTCTCACCGTCCATGAACCCACGACCTCCCGCACCCCTGCCCTGAGTGTAGCAGGAGCAGGCAGTCAGGACAGCTGTAATTCCACATGGAAACACGTTTCCTCTGGTGTGTTCCTCTGCTTCCTCCCCGGGCGATTCTTATGGTTATTGCTGCTCCCAAGGACAGGACTGAAATGTACTTGGTGCGACAGGGAGTCTCAGAATGACTGGGGTCAGTGCGAGCCCCACCACTCCTAAGTTGGTGATCCCTGTAAGTCATTTAACACGTCTTGATCCCATCTCCTCTGGGGTATTTGAGGACTTTGCTACTGTAATGACCCCTCTCTCTCCTGCAACCAGTTTCAGCTTCTCTACCATGCAGTTCTCATCGGCAATACCAGCAGCTGGAAACTGTCCCACAGTAAAAATCCAGAATAAAGACAAACCCTCCCTGTCTCCCCCTTCGCTTTTAGTTCCACCTCAATCCTTTGCTCTCCTTCACAGCAAAATTCCTAAAAAAGAATCGGACTAAGCCTTTATTTTTGAGTGTATATTCATAGAAGATTTCAACAGAGATATTTCTACCAGAGCATTAAGTTAAATTTGTCTCCTGAAACAACTTATAAGTCATCAAGACTCCAAGTCTGTGCTGAGGGCTCCCACTGACAAGTGTAATCTGATGAACACACTCTGATCTCATCACTAGGATCTCACAGGGCTCGGCAAAACAGCAGATGCCCAGGCCCCAGCAGGGCTAGAGCCTCAGAGCCTTTAGCGGGAGGGGCCAGGGAACTC